AATAAAAGGGGTCACAGATTCTCGATGGTATTACTCACATCGGTGTGCAGAAGGGGGTGTTAAAGTTCAGCAGACCCTGCGTGTGGCCAGTGCAGCTGAGTTGGACAGCATCTTCGCAAGGGTGTGGTGATGGACAGTGTGACTTGTTCTTCTCACTCAGCGTCGTGGTTCATACAGACCTCCTAGCCTCCCTCTGGCCTTCCCAACCTCAGCGAAACATCCATCAAGGTCCAGTCCAGGTGAGATTTTGTGGAGCATCCCCTACATGCCTGGCAGGAGCCTCTGAAGGTGAAGGACACTATGTCTGCAAGGAACTAACCTGGCACCTCCTCTGTGAGGTTTCTTATGGCAGCGAGAATTATTGCTCTCTCTCCTGCCACACTGGAGTACTTCATCCTTACAGAACAAGGAAGTGAATGGAGATGAGCTTAGGTTTTGAAGATGGCCACATTTGAAGTAGAATTCTGTCTCCTTCTTACTAAGGCTGTCTCCTTTTTTTTTTTTTTTTAAAGAAAGATTTTTGCTATAGAGTGTGTGCACTCACTGGAGAGGCAGAGAGACAGAAAGTGAGAAATCACACCCGGCCCCCTACCCCTCAGGGATGGCCACACTTCAATTCCTTCTCCTCCATTCTCCTCTTGGGATCTTGGGCACACATGCACACATGCACACATGCCCAGTGTGAGTTTAAGACATTGGATCCGGGACTTGCACTGCAGTCAACTATGTGCGAGTCCAGCAACGTAACCATTATGCCATCTGCTGATCCCGACCCTGACTACTTCTTTACATAGTATCCATGACACCTATAGCCCAGCGCAGTAGCCGAGTCACTCTGAAGCCAGACTACCTGGGTTTAACACTGGCCTTGCGCTCACTAGTTACTTAAACGCCTCTGTGCCTCAGCTTCCTCATGTGTGAACTGCAGGCCACAGCCGTGGGTACCTCAGAGTTGAGCTGAGGATTTCACTCAGGCAATTTCAGTAAAGCTTTAGAAGAATGGCAGATAAGTGCTATGTAAATATTTGTTTATTAAAATCAGTGAAGTCAATAAAAACATTAGCTTTCTGATCTGGGCAAGCCATTTGACAGAGTTTGTCTCTAAATGTGTACACTGTGGCCATAGTGAGGCTCCAGCGGAATAACCGTGCACAGAGCCTGGCCTTAGGAGCCCCTGCACCATCGCCAGTGGCTGTCCTCCCTTTGGGTGGTTTTGGGGACTCTATTTACCTTTCCACCAAGGTCTTAAGAGCAGGGAAGCATAGTTATGTGTAGCCCAGGAGTGCTCAGCTTAGGATACTGTAGAAATCTGTGCTCTCCGGAATTGGAAAAGGAGAGGAGAAAGTGCGTCTCTGGTTAGGAAGAGAAAGTGGACATGATATATATGTGCACGCGTGCAAGTGTTGGAGCAGGCGGTGGAGACACAGCAGCGGCCACATCCCTGCTAGCCCACACAGAGCTGCTCTGTGCAAGCAGCAACTTTCTGGAAACTCAGGCCACTGGGAGTAACGGCGGGGAGTACGGGCTGCGAGGGCCCGGTCGGCCACTAGGGGTCAGTGCGTCTCCACCTCAGGCGACTGTGAGCCGCTTACCTGAATTGGGGCAGGCGTCCACGGACAGTTCCTGACAGTTTGCAGTATCTCCTGCCTAACATTAAAAAATAATAACAGTAATTAATGTATCTCTCTCCGTAGCAGAGAAAGGAGACCAGACAACCAAAGTACCAAGC